GCTTCTCTATCTATCTGTTTAGTTTTCGAGACAAAGTGATGTCTGTTGGATACAAAAAATAGGAAAATACCTTTTTATTCTAATAATTTTGTTCAATCAAATAACCACGGTATTTAAGGGTGTGAGTGAGAGCATCTTTCATCCACACCCACGCCCACACCCTTTTAGGAGATTGACAACAACAACTACATCGCCTTTCACATTTTAATCCCGCAGAGATTGCGCTAAGAGCTTGTTTACACTAATATGAAGTTTTCGAATATCTTCAGTGAAAGTCTGCTGTTCAGTTTGTATTTCAGAGTGAGAAATATATATCAAACATTTAATTCAAGTTTCTTTTTCAATAAAAATAGCATAAGTAGCAAGACGTAAGATGATAGCGAAAATTTTCCAGTTAATATAAGTAGTTTTACGAGTTAAAAAGTGTAGCTCTTGATACAAATTCAAATAATGAAAAGCTATCGAATAAAGACACTGATATCTTGTCCTATGTTCATATTTAGATTATACTCTTCTTAGCGTGTTAAACTTTTATTTTCCTAATTGTTGTTACCAATGTTAAATTCTTATTCGCCTTAATTTTTATTTTGAAGTCATCGGATATTTGAAAAATCTTTATTTGATAGTTTTAATAAATATATTTAAAAACTTAGAAACATAATAGATTCAACATTGTGTATGTCTAAAAAGTATTATGAAAATTATTATGGAAAAAAATTGAGGAAGTTATCTAAATATAATATTTAATCAACACTAAAATTTAAAAACTCTTTTTTTTTGTCGTTATTCTAAAAGAAACTTGAATTCGATACTATTGTGTATCATAGAGAAACATCAATCATCTTGTTTTAAAATACGAATATTGCTTCAATTTACTCAATGATTACTTTATAAATTTTATGCTGAATTATCTTTTGTGCATTCTTTGTTCTTCATCATTTATTTCTATTGTTTTGAAAGCATCCCCATTGCTGCTGAATTTCTCATACATCTATAAGATTAAAAAGATTATATGAATAAGCTTGGGAGCATAGTTTCAAACAACTGAATAAATTTTAAATATCAAAATAAATAAATGATGTTGCTTTTTGTTTTATTCAAGATCTTCGGAAAAGATAATAGGACATGATGTCTTTTCTAAGTTTTTGGCTTGAAAGAATCTTTAAACAGATCTTGTCAAGATCTTAGATACAAATTTATTTGATACGACCAACATATATATACATGCAAATTGTCATTTCAAGATCTTGATAAGATCTTGCTTACAAGATGTTCGACTATGGTTATGAGTCTTATTTGGAAAGCTATATCCCAACTGGTTTTCAATTATGATCAATTCAGGAATGAACTACCTCCATGAGGTTCGTTCCATAATAAGATGAATTTAGTAATTCACAAGATCATTATTTTATTGACATTTCCACACTCTAAATTCACAGTGAAATCATCGAGAGAGACAGAACAAATAGAATCAAGGGTGCAAAAATCAGGGACATATTTGAGAATTAGAGTCAAATACACACGTAAATCGAGGGTGTGAGTGAGTGTTGACCTCCAGTTAAACCACACTCACCCGCACCCCGATTTTAACGATAAAGAAATCATAGTCTGTGTGAAGTAAACTTCATAGTTGAAGTTTGAGATGCATCTAGATGTATTTGAGGATCTGATGCCTTCGATTCAAGACAAATCCAGACGCATTTAGCAACAGAAACGCAAGTAGATGCATTTCTCACTCAAACGTGCGTGACAGTCAGCTGCCTCCTATATTAAACGCATTTGAACTCGTCTTCATTCGATTCGCGTTGGAATGCGCTTATGAAGCGCATTCTCACGAATTCAATTATATTTAAAACGCGTTCGAGCGCACTTACAAGATCAATCTCTAGAAATTCACATCTACTCGCGTTCGAGTGAGATGAGAAGAGCATCCAGACGTAGTTAGTCTGCTTTTGACATTTACCTAGGATGCTCCAAAGATGGATTAATCGATTTGCATTTTGACAGATATTTGCATCGTCAAGAGAAGAATCTTTAGAAAAATTTTATCAAAATTCTTCTCTTGTATAATAAAATTTTCTTGCTTTTCTTATTCTATATGGTTTGATTGATTTACAATGATGGAGAGGGAAAAGGAATTTATTTTGAAAGATATTCAATTGTTGTATACTCAATAAATCCATATAAAAGTTTACAAATCTTTCTTTGGTAAGCCAATCTCAGTTGACATTTTTATATGATATGAGTAGAGTAATACTCAATCCTATTATTTATTTACCATTTTTTTCTAAATTAAATTGATCTTCTTTAGGCTACTTTTCTGTCTCTCTGAACTCAATGGAATAGGATTTTTGTATTTTGAAAATTATGTTTTCTGGAAAGTCATTGAAATAAATCATTAGTTTATTTTTAAACCAAACAATCCAAAAAGAACGCAATTCTATTATGGCTTTTCTCTATTTTTGCATTGTGTAAAGGAGAAACTGTCAAATAAAGAAGAGAAAATGATAATAATGATAATTTGACATCCGCTTTCAACCGTTAAAAATTTTGTGCACGACTGATTCAATAGGAAAAACAACATCTAATTATCAAACTCATATCTGTCCTTGTTTCACATATTTCTCATCAGTTAAAATGAACGCAGTGTCAAGGACACTTGTAAATAATTCGTTAATAACGAATTTTCAATCATGGTTTATTCCCATTGATATTTTCACTATTGTATGTATTGTCTTGTCTGTAATACTTGCTATAGTATTATTATTGATCATTATTTTTGACAAAACATGTCATACAGTTCCCATGATGCTTGTTGCTAATTCATGCTTCGCTGGAATCTTATTTGGATTTCTTATATTTAGTGTCCGTCTATTTACACTTGAAAATGATCTCAAACAAATTGCATATAAAGATTTCCTTTGTAGTTTGCGAGGATATGTTGGTTATGCAATATGCTCAATACAGAATTGTTCTTATTTATTACAATCAATCTATCGATTTGTGAGTGTTGTTTATCCAACTCATTTATTTTATCAATCAGCAAGATTTCAATTATTTCTTATCTGTTTAACATGGGTCTTTGGTTTTCTATATCCTATTGCATTTCTATTTACTGGTGAAATTATTTACAATGTTGATAATCAAATATGTCAATTAGCTCTTCGACTTTCTTTCTCAATTATTTACATGGCTAATTGTGCATATATAATTCCAGTGTCAGTGACAATGTTCATATATTTGATACTAGTTCGTTATGTTCATCGTATGAATAAACATGTGACACCAATGAATAGATTAGCTCGAGCACAACGAGAATTAAAAATGGCCCGACGTCTATTCATACTCGTAACAATTCTGTTTATACTTTGTTTTCCTTATGCAATGTTTATTTTAATGTCGTTTTTTTGGAGTATACCAAAATATCATTTTCGTATAGCATATGTATTTATTGATGTATCATATGTGTTTGTAATAATTGCATTATTTCAATTTACAGATCCACTTAAAATGTCGATAATGAAAAGAATAAATCGACGATCAAATGTAGTAGTAGCAACGATTACGTAACGGATTACAATCCAGTCAATAAACAAAAAAAATTATTTGATATTGTATTGTTCTTGTTTTTAAAAAAATGAAAATATTAATTTGTGTATGAATTATTTCTCTTTTTTTTCAGAAGACATTCAGAATCAGTTGAAAACTGAATAAGAAGAAGAAGGAAAGAAATGAAGAAGAAATTTGTTTTTAATAATGCATGGTAGTGAAACATGAATGGAAGATAATTGATACATTGAGTTGATCTTATGAACATCAATTGGATAGAATTCAAAAGAGATAACAATGATTAAGTATGGTGACACATGGAGATATCAATGGGTATGGGTGTGGGTGTAGGTGTGCGTGTGGGTGCAGGTATGGGTGGGGTGTGGAGTGTGAAATGTTGGCGTGGTGTTTGGATGTGGATGTGCATATGCGTCTTCTCTTTATCCACACTCATACCACACACCCACACCCTTTTCAGACTAAATAATCTTGTACCTAGGGACTTAAATTGACATGTTAATGATGAACGCGATTTCGTTAGAAGACATTCATTTTTAACAATACGATTGTTTTGATTTCTGGTATCAATCGTGGTCACAGGTAGCATTTTATACTGATTTTAGAAGAAATCTATTGCACAAAAGATACTGAATTTCAATATTCAAAACCCTTGGCTGTAGGTGTCTGTTAATGTGGACCATCACATACTCACACCCTCACCTCACATGCTGGGGCGATCTCCCACATATGGTAGACTGATTAAATATCGGTTAGGACATCGGCCTATTTGAAGATGGCAAAAATTTATTAGGCAAGTTAACAATCACAACGTAATCAACTCTTTTTTATTTGGTCGACGCCATTCTGTTTGTTCAACTCTTGATTAAGATAAGAGTAACGGTTGCGAAGATGGAGGCTATTTCTACGGAAGTAATTGGTGATAACCTGTTGAATGGTGGATGGCTTCGTACTTCTGCCCATTTCGTATATAGTACCAATATTCCTTGCCAAATAGAAGATAGAAGGCATGATCTTCTATCCATGTGATTGTATAACTGTTTCCTGAATGCATGAAATAAGTTGGCATGATGTTAATAACCAAACCGTTATGAGATTGAGTGAAAACACCTAAAAGTTTGCCACGCGGCGTAATGCAGCTTGTGATGGTACGGGTGGTGGTCTTAACTGTCGAAGTACGTTGAGCTTGCGAGAGAATAAAGGAAAATGGAAAAGGTTATGGTAAAAAGCAAATCAGATAGTCAAAGCAAACTTTAAAGTTTGTGTTTGGCGAAAACGTAAATACACCTATCGCACAACACGTAATATATGATAAAATAAAGTTTTTTTAAAAATTAGCATAGTATGACTTCTGCATTTTTCAAGGCATTTTGCCCATGTCGCCGCTTTTTAAACAACAGCGGCGCATCGATCGTAATCGAACACATGGATGAAGATTCAGTCGGCCTATTATGCTTTTGGGCGACCTCAAGAGGATCGACACAGAATATTTTACACTAGAAGCGCATTAGCAACAAATGAATTCTGTAACACTTGGCTCCTACTCTACTTTCTCTGATTCCATGCAGAACTCTTAGGACAGTGTCGATTCTTCATGTCACTCTCTAAAATCGATCAAGTTAACATAAAGAAAATAGGAAAATTCGGTGATAAATCCTAGAAATAATTGAGAAATTTGAGTATTATTCGTTGTGATTTGCTCTATGTTCATTCGAATTCTTTTCACACAGTCTATGCTAGTCTGATGCCCATTTAAATGCGTGCTTTATACATTCGATTCGATGAAATTATAGTGCCAAAATTACAGTATTGTATAGAAATCCCATTACAACTGTTATATTCAATGTTAAAATCTTTCGCCACTATTCCATATCAATGTTAACTGTTTGCTCGATAATTCCTGGCACAAGTGATCGTATTCTAACAGCTAATCACCTCTATTTCAGGTGTCACGCATTTTCAGATAAAGAAAATGATTGATTTATGAAGAATGTCTCTCTGATCATTATGCTTATTAATCGAAAGTCATACACCATGTGGACATGTTGATTTCACAGAAGAGTTTCGAGTATCTGTTCGACAGTCGCACAGATTCTGTAATTACATGGGAGCTGACAGAGGAAATCGTTATTCAATGAGAACAGTACATTCTTAACTAGGCGAATATCTATCCTGTCGAATACGTATAGTGAGGCATATGGTGTATTGGTGTCCGTTTCGATGTGACTACGAGTATGAGTGTAAAAAAAATCTTTTATATACATCTATCCACATGCATAATCTATTCCTCCAAAACTTACAGTGAAACTTATCCATCCACTAACTACTCGATGCTATGCAGAATTATATTGTGAATTCATTGATAACGACGATATTGCTTTTACATACATAGAAGATCACTCAAACCAGTAATATTGACAATTATTTATAAATAGCTCGCTCATGTAGGATCTGTTCTTACATCCTTCTTTAGAAGAAGCAACTTCACATTGATACAATCACCATAGGACTCTATTGTACTTTCTATGTTCGACACAATTTGAGCTCAAACTGTTACAGTTGTGGCATGCGGCAATAGGAAAATACGTAGTTGTCGTTTCTATGTTTGCTTTCAAAAACAATCATTCTTTTCCACAGTTTTCTTCATATCTCAGGTACGAAATATTATCCATTCCTGGTTTTGATAATTTCTCATAATCCTGGCAACCGACTTTAAGAATTATATCATTTCTGAACTTTTAAAAATCTGCTTGCAGACACATATTTGAAGTGACACTTTTAGCAGACAGAATGAACCCTTCAGAGAAGGTTAGTTTCTACAGACATATACTTTTTGTTTCCAATCTTGCTCAACCATGTGAAACATGGTGTCTTAATAACTGATGATAATTTTGATACCAGCTTTGACAACTCAGTTCAAGTATATAACAATATTTTCCTCTATGGATTTAAGACACAATATCCTTAGAAATGAAGTATTGATGCATTCTAAACTTGATTCATCGAGCCACAATCAAACTATTGTTTTGGATTGAATGCTATGGCTATTGTCATGATTAATAGTAACTTTTTTCTTAGTCGTATTAGTAAAAACGATAATAATTTCTTCTCGCCCATAGGAGAACCTGGGACCACGTCTACTCATTCACAACTACTTATTAGTTTGTTTAAATAGGGATTCGCCACTTTCCAATGGCGAAGTCTGTTGGAATTCATTGTCATTGGAACCAGATTTGAAGAAAATCTGAAGCAGACCGAGAGCTAAGTTTAACTGAAGATAGTGCACCTTAAAAACTTTCCAGAACGTTGCATTGAGCATGGCTCCGAAAAATTTAAGGGAGGACCCACTACAACAATGCTTACGATCACCAGGAAAAATTTTTCAACTTTCGATTTTGAGGTTTCAAACGGAAGCTTGAATCCAAACGTAGTCAAATCAAATAAATTAGAACATTCTGTTAACTCTAAGACAAAAACCGACTGGACCACTGAATTAGGATAACAGACGAAAATCGGTAAGACCATGTTTTAGTCCACGAGTTTTCATTTTTAGAAATAGCCATTTGGTGATGATTAGCTCATGACAAAGCATCGCCCTATTATAATTGTTTCTTATAAACTGAAATCGATGATTAAGACCTCCTAGCCTACCTTTAAGTCACTCAACGGCAGGGATGACCAACCTCGTTAACTGACGTCACCAATGTCAATGAAACTTTGTTAGTTTATAGTTCCACGGGTGACATGAATATACCTAAAATTTGAGCTTTTTAAATCTTTACATGGAAATTCTTCATCAACTGTAGACGTACTTTGCGTCTCACAATATTTTTGTTTTGTTATTCGTTTTGTTTCTGCGAAAGATAGAGAATACATCCTATTCCGCGATGTTGAACATTCCGGAATCAGTTTTGTCCCCGGAACCAGTTCCATCCAATTCCTGGAACTCGATCATCATTCAATATAACAGATCTACTAGTCACTGACCAAGTTCCATCAAATTCCCGGAATTCCCAGAACTAAGTTCAGACGGAATTACCCCGAATTCCCAGCAATTCCGGAATCGGACGGAATTCTTAGGAATTCCGTACAATTCCGTCTCGACTGAATTCTCGGAATTCCCTAGCGGAATTACTTCCCGCCCTCACCCTCACGCATAGTGTTGCGACTGAAGATTATTCTCTCGCATA